CATTGAATTCGGGAGGTCGGAAAACATTGGGAGAGGTAATATGGGATGTATTAGAAGTTAGGAAGTATTTTAGAAGTAAAACCAAATTGGAGTGAAATTGGGTAAAAAGGGGTGATAGACACTGCTTAGTATTTTGATTATAACTTTATATTTTGATGTCCAATTGATCTGCAATTTCGACAGAAAATAGTAGACCTCTAGGGCTACAAAGGTGTATTTCATGACAAATTTCCAATTCGACCTTTAAATGGGTCAAAACTGACCTGGAAGTCGCACCAAAAATCTGTGAACAGTACGAAGGAAACCCGAATTTTTCTGAACAGAAAATATCGGGTTTTGCTCGATTTTCTTGCCCTATAAAAACCTAATGTCGTCCCTTTAGCATTCATTTCACCCCTCCAAACCCTAGGAACCATTTTAGAGGAAGAGAGGAAGATAGAAATACCAATCAAGAGGGATTTATACCTTGTAGAAATCAAAACTTCAAATTCTTCAAGAATACATTCTCCTCCCATTTTCTTCCATTCTTGCTACCCTCTCACCCAAATCTTTTGAAACCCTAGGAGGAGAAGATTAAGAGGAAAAGAAAGGAGAGCAAGAAGGTCTTGAAGCTTGGGTCTTAGCTTGGAATCTTGATTTAAGGTAGGGGATTTTCTCTCAATCTCTCACATTGAGGCTAGATATATATCTATAGATATATATATGTATATAGATATATGTTTCTTCACTCTCCTTCTCATATATATAATATGAAATACATGATTCTTGTTCTATTTGTAATAAATGCCATGTTTTGAACAATATGAAGGGTGGGTAACCACCAAAGCTCTATTTTTTTTTTTTTTTTATCTTCAAAGCCCTAGTTTTCAAGAAAAGGGGATTTTCTCCTAATTTCTTCTTTGTCTTTGATTTTAAAACTTTAGTGTTGAATATTGTATAACAAAATGATATAGATTACGATCTCTTGCATATTTTCTTGGATTATTCGATTATATGACAAATGTGAAAACAAAATTGGGGATTTTACTATATTTGGGAAATTGTTGTGAATTGTGAATATTCTTGATTTCCTCATTGTATGGTTGTTGTGATGGACTTGGATTACCTTCGAGAGATGCCGTAGAGTGTTAGAGGTTAGTCTATCCCAATGGGGGGTGAGATGGTTGCCTAATGCTCGTAGTGGATCGTTGTTGTGCTCGCGATCACTATTGTTCACATATACACCGAGGAAAAGGGTTAGTATACTAGACACCTTGGGAGGATTTCGTCAATGCCGTAGGAGACGGTACACGCCCTTCCTAAAGAGATTTGTGATTGTTGGTTGGAATTGGTGGACTAGGCATGATCGTTAGGTAGATTCACGAGAAGCAATCAACATACATGGTACGGGGATGAACCAAAAATACATGGAATCGGGAGTTGGGTCGTTCTTGCCGATGCATTGGTATGGGACAATGCTTAGGGAGAAGCCCTTCTTAAATAGCTTAAATTAGAATTTTGTTTATCGATGCTAAACTCACTTTATTCTTTTAACTGATTATTGCTATTGTTTAAACTTGAGATCTCTTTTAAAATGTCACTGTTTTCATTCCAAACCTATATATATGTTAGTTGTGAAATGAGACCGACCGTTTGCTATGTTTTTCAAACCTTGTTTGAGTTGAGAGGATTTTGCTACAGAGCTTCGTGCTCACCCCCTACAAATAAAAATTTTTCAGATTTCACACTTGAGGAGGAGTTAGGAGCCGAGGAGCCCACCCATTGGAAGACTCCGCTTGACGGGGATGTGGATCCCGAGGTGGACGCTTAGAGCGACACTTTTATTTTGTTCTAGACTAGATTATGCTTAGAATATCCTTTTGAACTCTAGTTCATTTCTGTTATTTCCGCTGCGTTATATTATTACATTTTGGAGATGTAAAGGCCAAGATTAGACCTATTAATTTGGGATGATAGTGTGGATATGACATATGATGAATGCAAGTTTATTTTATGATGGAAAAATGGACCCGGTGTGGTCAATAGTTATGCATATGTGGACCCGGTGTGGTCAATTGTAATATAATTTTACAGGTTGTGTTTTGGGTAGAGCTCCCCGTACAAAGGAGACTCTGCCCAAATTTTGTTAAAATATGAATGGTTGATGAATGAAACTTTCGTCGTGATGAATTTTACTTAATGCTCTCATACGGTAAATGATTTTTAGAATGTAATGTCACCCACGGGGGTTTTTGGGGCGTTACAAAACTGAACAGACTGTACCGGTACTGCGTACCGGTAGATCAGAAGTTATCGTACCGGTACTGCGTACCGATACACTACTGTCCAGAGAGTTTACCATACAACAACTGCGTACTGGTACGCTCTGTAAGTCTCAGAAATTTTAATTCGTGATCGGGGGTCCACTTTTCACCCTATAAATACATAATGACGCCTCCATTAGCCCCATTTCAACATTTTTAACCCTAGAAAGTCCTAAAGAGGAAAAAAGGAGGAGAAAAATAAGAGATTAAGAGTGGATTCAAGTTGGGAAAAGATCAAATCTCAAGTTCTTCACACAAAATCAAGGAAGAAGAAGGTAGGAGTTTTCTTCTATTCTTGTTCATTGAGGATAGAGTTTATATATATATGTATGTTTTGCTTTTAAATCTTAGATATATGCTATGAAATACTTGTTTCTTAAAGTTCTTGCAAATATCATCATGTTTTGAAGGTATTTATGGTTTGATAGCCATGAAAATCCTAATTTTGAGAAAAATGAATTTTCTTCTTAATGTTTAATTGTTCTTGATTTCAAAACTTTAGTGCTTTATATTGAACCACAAAATGGTATTTATGATGATCTCTTGTATATTTTCGTAAATTGTTCTATTGGGATACTACTTGTGAAATTTGGGAGTTTTTGAATGTATTTGTGATTGGATATTGTATCTCTTATGGATGTTTGGATGACCATGGGTGACCGTTGACCGGATATCGTAGAGTGGGTTAGATGCGTTTCTTACTCCGTGTGAGTTTGAAGGTTCCTTATCACTCGTAGTGGGGTTGGTGCCTTGCGAGGATTAAATCACTATTCGCTCACGAGTTATTGAGGCTGAGGGTTAGTATACTATTCCTGGGTTGGATTCATCACTGCCATGAGTTGGCATACACCCTTCCTAAAGTTGTATATCCTTGAGAGGATTTGGGTGTGTGTCTGTGGGCCAAGATATTCTCGATATGTTTATTCATGCGAATCATGTATCATACATGAGATACAAATATACATTGTTGATTATTGTTTATTGTGCAAACGGTGAGATCCATGGCGGTTATGGTTTATGGTGAAAATGGTGGTTGTGGAAATGACTTATTATTGGAAATTGATTTATTTCCTTATTTAATTTATTGCTATTGTATAAACTTGAGATCGAATTGCCCCTATTTTCTCTCAAAAGCTTTGTCTATGATATTGTAAAATGAGACAGACTGTTTTATATGCTTTCTAAACCTTGTTCGAGTTTGAGAGGATTTTTCTACAAAACTTTGTGCTCACCCCCTACAAACAACATATTTTTCAGATTATGTGCTAGAGGAGAAACTTGGAGTTGAGGAACCGGGACATTGGGAAGTTCCACTAGACAGGCACGTGGATCCTGAGGTAGATGTCTAGGGCTATGCTCTCCTATGTGCTAGACTATGAAATTCCTTTTGAGACTCGATAAAGTCTAGTTTTTTGTTATTCTGATGCACGTTAAATTTGATTCTTTTGGGATGTAATTGTCATAGCCTGACATATTCTTTTTGCGAAGATGTTGTGGATATTGCATATGATAAATGATATTTTCTTATTTAATGGATGTTATTAGTTGCTCTCATGATGTGAATGGTATTTAAATAGTAATGCCGTCCAAAGTGACTTTTGGGGCGTTACAATGAAACCATTAATGATTTGAAAATTTGGAGAATTGAGTTTCGTATGATTTTTACGAAGGAATTTGTGTTAAATGCTCATTTTATTTGTTGATTCTGTGGTTGATTGTTAGATTATCTTGTAACCTTGTAATTTTGTATGTTATGTTGTAAATTGTTTTTGGGCCTCCCATGCTCACCCCTATTTACTCCTCTCATATGTAGGTTGAAAATTTATGGAAAGTCAAAAGAGATCAGGTCGATTGAGAAATTATAGACTTCGAACTATTGGTTCATTAGTGAATGCAAAATTTTGGGAGTGGTTTGAACTATTGTAATTATTTTTAAAGACCGAGTTTTTCTATTTTTTTTTTTTGATTGAAAACTTTAGTGCTCTGTATAAATTGATATTGATGGTAATTGAGTTCACGTACCGAATTCACAAGAATCGGGTGCGGGGCATGACAGAAAAATATGTTACGTGTACTCGTGTAGGCTAGAAAACCTTATTTTATTTCATCCGATTTTAAAAGGAAAAAAAAAAGAATAAGAAAAAAAGATGTAAAGTGAAAATATGAGGGATATTGTGAGATGAAGAGAAAATATTGATATATTTGAGACAAATATTTTTTGTTAGACAAATATATTCTTATGAACAAATCTTGTGAGGACTTTTTATTGGAACAAATTAATAGATCTAAATGGAAGGAATGAATTGAAATTCAGTTACAATTTTAAGAACCTAATTTTATCAATTGAAACTTCAGGGACCAAATAAAAATTATGTACATACTTTAAATGCATAAATTATAAATTACCCAAAATTGCTTATAAATTTGTAGAGACCAAATCTAACCCAAGCAAGCCATCATAATCAAAGCCCCACCGACGACATCGTTTTGAGAATGCGTATTAGTACATCTGTACACTTCACTTCACCTTCTTACACGACACCGTTTCCATGGCAATGAGGTGTTAAAAGTAAAAGCTGTCATTCGCCCTTCCTGGCTATCGCCCTTCTTCGGCTTTCAATGTCTTGAAACCCTAGCTCTCTATTCGTAGAAACACTGGCTTAGTCTTCGTAGAACCCTTCTTACATACATATACACATATATATATATATATATATATATATATATATATATATATATGTATAGGTTCTGTATTACGCCATAGATTATTTGTTCGGATTCTCTCTCTAAATGCCGGTCTTTTGATTAGATCATGATGATGAAGCAAGACTCCACAACCACCACCGCTACACCCCTCGCCACCGTGTGTGGCCACTGCGGCGTCCAAGAACGCCGTCTCCTCCATCACGTGCGCCACCGGGGAATCTTCCGGCGCTTCTGCACCACCTGCGTCCTCCGTCTCCACCCACAATCATTCTGCCCCACATGCTTTAATGTCTACCACCCTACCCCACCACTCACCTCCCAGAACGACGCTGTTGTCGCCTGCTTTAAATGCTATTCTTCTTCGCATTCTCAGTGTGTGGGCTCCACACCCTTGAAGCCTTACGTTTGCCCTCTTTGTATAAACCCTAATGTTCCTATTTTTACTCTAAAGATGGCAGAAGATGGGAATGGGAATAGTAGTAGTGGAATTAATGAGAATTGTAGGGTCATTGATAAGCTGGGGGCCAAAGTGTTGCTTGCGGCCTCGAAGATCGCCGCCGGGTCTATGAGTAAGGCAGCAGTGACGGCCAGGGCAGAGGCAGAGAGGAGGGCGAAAGAGGCGGCTTTTACGAGAAAAAGGGCGGGGGAAGCATTGAAACATGTTGCATTTCTGGTGTCTAAAGAGAAGTTGAAGAGGAAGGAGTTGCTGGCCGCCGCAGAGGTTTCGGGTTCCGGTGGCAATGTGGGTATGCTAGAGAAGAAATATAGCAAAGTTGAGGATAATGTGAATAGTGTTATGGTGGGCTTGGCAGAAAATAACAGAATTGGCAATCAGAATAATGTTTTGGCAGCTTTGAATGCGGTGGAGTTGAGGGAGAAAGAGACAGTTGAAGGGTTTAGGGCACAAAATGTGATTTTGGGGCAAAATAATAATGTTGAAGCAATGGATGTAGATGATGATAAAAGAATGAGGGTGATTCCCAGTTCATGTTTGGACAAACCAGTTGTTCTTCAGAATCATGGTACTGGAAATGAAAGTGACAGGTCTGGTGGATTGGGTAATCTAGAAAATCATAATACAGAGGGTGTAAATAGGGATAATGGGGTGATTTCAGTTCCACCTGTAGGAGATCATGTGCAAAATAGTAATGGTAGGGAAGAGAATAATGTTGCATTACAACAATAGTCTATGATGTGCTGGAATATGATAAAACCAAGGTGGGATTTTAACCTGTTTGCTGTATAGTTAATATCAAGCTATTGGTTTTCTTATGATGTCTAGGTCTCATTGCAGGTGCGTTGGGTTTTTAAAGGTTCAATCGGTGTAATCTCCTGGGAATATAATGAAGACCGATATAGAGCATCCTCAAGTTGTATCTGCTGGATCTGATCAAAATTTTTTTGGTACACATTATTGTGCATCTAGCTGAATCCTTATTTTGTGTAAAGATTTCTAAGAACATAGGATGTGATTATGTAATCCAGCTGGATTTGACAAAATCAAATTTGATCCTTTGTGTTCTTTGCATTGGCTTATGATATTCTCCAGATTTTCCTTTTTTCTGTTTCTTATATTGTCATCTTCATTTTCACTGTTAGTAATCTATGAAAACATTGATATTATTCATTCCCAACCCCAATTGGAGAATTACTCTTGCCTATAACCAATCGTGCATAAGTTAGTTTGTCAAGAAATTTATAGCAAAACTCGCATTAATAAAGCTTTTAAGAAATTGGTAGCATCTATTTAGTCTCCAAGTTAGTAATGTGTATCAGATTCTTGAAACATGGATAACTCAGATGAAATGCATCCTAGCGGTCATTCATCAAGTTTGTTTTAATATCTACGTCGGTGAGAGCTAATAAAGTTATGAAATTTTTATGAGACAAAAGGTTGCTTCAAAAATAGAGAAAGTGTTAATTAGGTGCCTCATCTTGATAGGGACACAAGTTGGCTGTGTCAAGAGTCAAACAGACTTTTATAAGTTAGAAATGATGGGTGGATCAATCCCTTGGGTTAGAATACTCTTTTGTCATGTGTAAATCAAAGTAATGTTATTATAGAGGTATAATTTATGTATGTGGAATCAAAGTGAATTATGTATATCAGATCGGCTGACCTCTTCTTGTGCTTGAAGAGAAAAATTGTGGCTCTCACCCTCGTCATCAGTGCAGCCATTCCTTGGATGCCAACTCAAGATCTTGAAGTTGTGACTGCAGCATCATTAGTGACTCCTGCTATCAAGTCTTATGGCCTTGATGGACACTACTCCTCATAGCATCTCCTATTTTCTGCATGCGCCCGAAGTAAATCTCTGACTCCGCACTTATTATGCAAGTTCTTTTGTGTCACAACTCTCACTAGGATTCTATCCTCTACTAAATCATTAAACATGGGTTATCTCTTACTGCTCTGATTTATTTTTTTTCCGTGTACTTCTGCTTGTTGTGCCATCCTTTTCCCCCCCCCTCAAAACACTTTTTCCTGTCTTCGATTGTCAATATCATGATGTCTTCTCAGTGCAGCACATGCTGTATAGTCTTGGTAGAATTTATTTCTCAGATGGGAATAAGTTGACGAAGAATAAAAAGGATTTCTATTTAGATGAAGAAAAAGTGAAAAAAAACCCAAATGATATATAGTACTTGTATATTTAAAAGGTTGTTTCACTCAAGATTGTTTTTCAAAGAGATGGGAACATATATTAATGGGTCTTTCCTTCTCGCAACCATCGATTAGGACAAGTTGTTCTCTAGGGTCTCTCTCTCTCTCTCTCTCTCTTTCTCCCTCCTCTCCCCCCCCTGCCCCTCCCAACTCAAACAAAAAAAAAAAATTTGACTGTCTTTGTACCTCTTCCCATGAACCATGTCTCTTGCTCTCCACATGTAAATAGAAAAAAACTAGCGATAATCCGTGCGAGGCACAACACTTTTATATAAAAAAAAGAACTGAAAAAAAAATTCATTAAATCACTCGTTGGTCATCTATCATAAAATCAGTTGTACATAAACACAAACGCGTGCAGATATATTAGAAGTGAAAGAACAAACACATGAAAGTGTAATAGATGTGAAGGAAGTACTAGACATTACAATTAAAATACTTATCCAACAACCAGGAAGAATCCAATAATTTTTTAACCACATGCCAATCCCCACAACCCCGATAGGCAATACCCATCTCACTTGCCACCCCCACACACCCTAGCTCCTTACCAAAAGAACCAAAAATTCAAAATAAAAAGAAAATTGATACAAAATTTTGAAAATTTGATTCAAACTTTTCGCATGATTCCTTCAAGTAGCCGACTAATTTGAAAATGCAGTAGTATTGGGACTCCTTTACTCTTCTAAACATGGGACTCCTTCACTCTTCCACATATGTTACCAGCAGATGGGATTTCAATTTGGCTATCAGGATTGCTCGTGTTCAGGGCCCCCATATGTATTAGATTAATCCCCACTTTGTGTCTGTCAACATATTTTTCAGACATAGATCAAGATACATGCATTAGCGAACTCATGCATACATGTAGGGAGAGAGACTACAATCTCATTGGTTAACTGTTTTTCGGTGACGCTCTTCTTCATGAATGGTGGAAGGCTTATCCAAAATTCAACTGTTTGGCTTCGTGGAATAGAAACAGGGAGATTGGAGATTCGTGTATGACTGTATAAGGGGGAAGTAGGTAAGTGGTTATTGGAAAGTTTAGAGAGTGGGAAACAAAAAAGGGGGAGACGGAAAAAGATAGAGATGATTCTGTCAAAAAGAATTATCCTATTAATAAAACAATTAATAAAACAACCCAATATGTTAAAGTCATGTAGGATTTTAAAATATTTGAAAATTCAAAATCACAGGGGATTGGGATGAGTAGCCTCCATTGCTATAGTATATTAAATTAGAGATAGATGAATGGTAAAAAGTCCTTATTTCATTTATACAATTCATTTTCTTGCTATGATTCAACTAATTGCTTTCAATTATTTTTGAAAATTAATTTTTTGTTAGTCTTAGATATGGTTTACTTATCGCCAATGCAACTGCCAGATCTTTTAGTAGATAATAGTGGGGAAGAGATTGAACTGTTTGAACCAAAGACCAAAGGGGTTATTCATAACTGCTCAGAATACAAGCAGTAATTGGATTCATATGTGACATCAAGATTGTGCTTAATTAAAATATCACTTTTGATAAGTAACTAAAATTGTAGTTATACAAGGAAAATGTTTAATTCTATAAACAAAATGTTGGAAATTCTAGGGACTTTGTTTTTTCTTTTCCTCTAGGTTGAATTATTCAAAGAATGGCTCTCAATTCCTGTTTGCCTCTCCCCACCAAGTATTTGTTTTTGCCCAAGAGATTATAAAATTGTTTTTCAACATTCAAATCACCTAAATATCACTGTTTGAATGTGGAAAACCAATCTTTATGACCTTTTATATTGTGCATCTACATGGATGCCTTTTTTCACCTAATTTTGCATTGACCCAAATGCCTTCTTATACACCTTATTGTGTTCTTGGGGTCGACTAATGATACTTTTTGAAATTTTCTTTTCTCCCTGCTGCTTATATTGGCATCATCATTTTCAGTGTTGGTTTTCTGAGAATTAATGGATCTTTAAGGAATTGATAGCATCTAGTTAATTTTCAATCTATAATGTGTCAAATTATTAAAATATGGTGAACTAAATGCATTGTATTCTGTAAGTCTTAGCTCATCTAGTGGTAATTTAGTTTTGTGTGCACCCGAAAGCTCAGACACTATTTCTAATCGCACCACATTGTCGTGTTAACTGATCTACCCTTGAAAGCAATTCTGTGAAAAGCAGACCTGTTGGGAACGATTGCTGAGTGGGCTGTGGAGTTGGTAGAGTTAAAAGCAATTCTGTGAAAAGCAGACCTGTTGAGATGGATTGCCAAGTGGGCTGTGGAGTTGGTAGAGTTGGACGTTCCAGAAACTCAATAAAGGAGCAAGTTCTTGCAGGCTTTATTGCAGAGTTCACGTCAAATGAGGAAAAAAAACAAGTCTTTCCCAAGCAACACACCACAGATAGAATCAGCAAGCCCCGATCAGAGTTATGAAGCTCTATATGGACGAGCCTTCGAATGCCCAATGACTGTTATTAGGTAGCTGGGATTTCAGTTATGTGGAATCAAAGTGAAATGTATCAGCCGAGATTGCTAAAGGGGTGCAATTGTGGACAATGGTAGACACTAATCCTTGGAGCATCTGCTCTTCTCTGGATGTGTTCAATTTGTCATGTACGTGAAAGACTGAGTTATATTTTGCACCATTCCACTGCCAAAATGCGATGCTTTGGCAGTCTTTCCAATGATATAGCTTGAAAAAAATCATGTTTTTTGCCCAACCACCATTCTTCTTACCAACACCGTTGGATTTGGTTTAAGATTTTTCACGAGGGTATTATTGCCAACCAAGACTAAATGCACTCTCTTCACTCAGTTTGGGAAAGTGACGCTAAATCAATTCATTATGTGCAAATGGTGTCATTAACGACTAATTTACCGACTTTTAGCAGGGTCGTAGAGAGCTAAATGATAGATGAACATATTTTTATTTTACATACTTTGGGTAAATGAGACACAGCACTTCTAGAGATTCGGTTTCATAAGGGCTCGGTGGTTGACCAATATGTTAACCTAGTTAAATTCGTTTCTGAAAAGAGAAATGGACGTAGTCAGGGGTTTTATGATCCCACCAATAAAATTCTATAGGGGTGGTTGCTGGAAGCTTTTCTTTGTCTCCTCTTTTCTTAACCAGCCAAAAAAAAAAAAAAAGTGAGGTCCAGCTTCAATCACTATGATTCTATATTTTACCAAAAACAAAGGAGGACTTGTCAAATTCATTTGTTTTCAAAGTGATACTGATGTATGCATGCACCACATCTCTCCAATGCAGCCGTGCATTAATCATATAGACTATCAAGGAGTGCCAAGATTCCAATCCTGTCACTATTTTCGAACAGTCAAAAATGTACTAGCGCTGAGTGCCATGGGGCATTGATCCTACGAGCCCTAAGGGCACTTTTAGGCAGCAATTAATGGCATGTTTGGATTATGGGATATATCGAGATATAGTGCAATATAGTGTTATTGGTTCTGAAGATACAGTGTAATATAAATAATTTTAAGACTATCAAATAGATTTATTAAAGTCTATCGTATTTTATATTATAGATATTAGATTGAGCTCAATCTCGGTTAGACTATATTCCAGTTTTATGATTATCCATTCAGCTTATCAAATGTTTGGATTCTTTATATTATCATCTGAAATGCTCATGGCCATCAACCAAACCATATCATATTGCTAAATGGTTTTGTCGTGTTTTGACTATACTATCCCTCGATAATTACTTCCATTTGGGAGTAAATTGATAATATTGCAACACTATGTTTTTCCTTCCTAATTTAACCCTCGTGTTTTTTCTTGGCCTAATATGGGGTATTGGAATTAAATTTTGGAAAAATTGGGAGGAATACACTTTTAAGAACTTATTCCAAATAAAGTACATAGCCCAAACATTTAGTCATTAAGTACACATTCTTCTAAACATTTGG